AGCGCGGGCTTCGCAGCCGGGGGGGGAAGCCCACCGGGAACTGGGCTTCGTGTCTGCCCCCAGAGCTCCTTGCGGGGCTGTGCCCCCCACACGCCGGCGTGTGTCGTTAGGCTGTTGAGAACTGCCCGGAACTGCCCGTCAGGTTCCCGTCGCGGCAAGAGCCTGTTGTGCCTCATCCTGTCCGAGCGCGGGTCTCACCGCAGGTAACAGCGCCCTGGTGCACCTGCAGCCTGGCCCACCTGCCGGGCCCGTGCGGGCAGTGCCCAGCTCTGCCTTACAGCAGGGAGACCACGCAGCTAGAAGATCTGTCATTTTCTTTCTTTTCGCCCTATTTATACAGTCACGGTGATGGGAAGGCTGAGACAGGCGTTGCACCTTCACTAGGAGCTGCCAGGGAGGCCTCAGCAGGTCTCACCCTGAGCACAGGGGCTCTTCTTGAGTTGCCCTGGGGCCCGCAGGGCTTCCTGAGAGACCCAGAGGGCAGAAACTGGAAAGGTCCGTTTAGCACACACTTTGTTCAACGTTTAGTTTTAACCGGTCTGTACCCAGACAACTGAATTCGTTTATGAAGTCTGAGCTGAGTCTTCCGTTTTGCAGTTTTAAGCTCAGGTGGTTTATTGGGAAGAGAACATAGTGACCGTCCTGCTTCTGTAGGTTTAATAAGCCTGATTAGGGTCTTTCAGGTGTTTTGACAGAGTAATCTTGCATACCTGATTGAATTGTTGCCTCAGACGAATAAACACGGCTTCTTAGTCCTTTTGAATGGAAAATAGCTTTGCAAGTTGAATTGTCCTGTGCCTTAGCTCCCGCAGTGGTGCTGTATCTGGGGTCTGTGTGTTGCTGTTATTTTAGAAATACTGAGCATCTTGTTCTATATGTTAAATACCACAAGAGGGCGCTCACCTAAAGCTAGAAGTGCACGATTGTGCGTCTGTTCCCTTTTCCCTTTTTTTTTTTCTTCTCACTCCAAAGTTTCGACATAGTGCTCAGGTATATATCAAACATGACAAAGTATGCTCTGTGGATTAAACGCATAGAGACAAAAAGTGTTAGCGTGAGTAAAATAAGCCAGTTTATTTGCATGATTTTAAATGTTAGAAATTTTAATCCAGGTGGCTAATTGAGAGTATCAATTAATCAGAATGAAAATAAATAGCTTCTTAATAGCGATGATGGTGATGTGTATTTTGTTTAATTATGAGCTGCCATAGTGTTTGAACTCCATGCCAATGAAGACTGAGGCAATTAAAAGACTTTATCAGATCAAAACCTGTGAGAAAGTTACAGAATTCTCATTGCAGTAGAAGATGAAAACTAATAGTTAACTACACTTAGACATAAAATAGCCAGTGTAGATGAATCTCTAAACCAGAAGAAATAACTAATGAGTTCTTTCTTGTTTAGCTTATTAAAAAAAAAGAACTTTTGAACTTTTTAGAAACCCATGGATGAAGTGTTTGACAGAACCTCATTTAAACAGTCTAAACTCACTCATAACTAATGTAACTAAAGGAAGATGCAGTCTTCCCTAATGGTCTGCTGGGCAAAGTGGCAGATTTGTCCCATTTTAGTCTGATCTCTTTGTTTGCTTCACACAGGAATTAACATCGGTGTAATTTTCTGCACAGTAAATTACGTCCCGTTGCTGTAGCCTTCATACACTTGTTTACTGCGCATAAAATGGTTATTCATCTGGAGTCACAGTTGACTGAATATGTTCACTTTTAATAGAAAAGAATGGAAACAGAAATGGAAACAGCTTTTACCAAATGTTACAGATATTACTAGTTACATAAGTAAATGACACTCAGCTTAGTTCCAAAGTCCACTGGCTGACAGGTAACCTGAAACAAAACAAACACAAGTCAAGCATTTCACTTTTCAGATTTTGTTTTGTCAGTAACCAAGCAAAATAATTTTCTTTCCATGATCCAGGTAATGAATCCTTCTATCATAATGAATCCTTATATCACAAATTATTATGAGAATAATGAATACTACACATATGTAAATACTGTTTTAACTGAGGACTGATTTGCTCCCAATACAATCCAGAATCCCAGTTCTATACAAGTACTTGATGTGTGTGTTTTTCTCCCATAATTCACCGAAATCCTTGAGTACTGCACAGCGTGACACCTCTCTTCTGTCGGGAGGTGTAGGAATAGGCATTAACATCACAGCCTGACGCAAAGTGCTGGGGCTATACTTGTATCTTCTTTCTTCCAATCAATAACACAAGCACTGTTGTGGGACCACGGAAATAACGACAGTATAGTCACACTGTTTTCACTTCTATAATTTTTAGGCTTCCTTTTGGAAATTACCGTGATGGTGTAGAGCAATGCCTTTTAAAGTATGGGGAAGGAGAGCAGCTGCCTGATGGAAAGGGGTGGCCGGGAGCCAAGCTTGTTTCGGATGCAGAAGTAAAGCAAGTCGTGGGGTTGTTTTTGGTAAATGACTAGCAGCGAAAGTGACGCACACGTGGGAGCCCGTAGCTGTCACTGCCCAGATCACGCCGCTCTTGGGCTGCCTTAGACGACCCGCAGACTAATACCAGCTGCCCGCAGCACCTGCAGCCGCCCCCAGACCCGCACCTGCAGCACCTGCAGGGACGTCGTGTTGCAGACCGTGATTCCCCCAGTACGATTGTGTCGTGAGGCACAAACTCCTTGCCCATCACGCACCAAGCCAGGACTAGCAGCTGGCCTGGAGAAGAGCGCGGTGCCAGCGCCCGCACCCAGGAGCGGTCGGGACGTTTGCGGGGCCGCGGCTCCTTTAAGGCAGGTAGCCCGGGGGCGGGGCCGGCG